GTCGCTCTCGGCCATAGGCTGGGCAGGCTGGCGAGAAGACCGTCTGTCCGGCCGTCGTTCGGCCTCGGTGCGGCCACATTCCTTCCGAGCCGTCGAACCGTTTCACTTGCACTTCGTGGGTTGTTGTCGCCATGGAGACTGCTAAGATCGGACGGTTTGTCGACGGCTTTCGTGTTGTTCAAGAGAGGCGCGAGCGCTCCATTCGACGCCGGTTGTGGTGGAGGAGGAGAATGGGGAAAGTGTGGAGCAGAGGCGAGAGATTGCCTCCCGGCATGTGAAATGGGCAGATGGGCCGTCCTGACTGTTGCCATGTCCGAGGCTGAGATGGGCCCGCGAGAGAACACAATCTCGGAGGAACCGACGACGGTGGGAGCACTTTTCACCTTTTCCATCCGGTCCCAGTTGCCCAACTTTCCCAACCCGGCATCGGTCGTGCCCTCGGATGCGAGATTTCGCAGACGAGCTCGTTGCCCCGGCGACAAAATGGTCTCGGTTGGATGAGCCGATTGTCGCGGTTCGACGCTGTCGCCATGGCCGGTTGGCGAGGCGGTCGCGGCGACGGAAGCGGCTCTGTGGAGTTGGCGGATGAGGCAAGGAGTGGCCGTGACGGTCGAAGTGTGTGGAGGCGGGGCAGACGACGGGGCGGCGACAAGAGCCATGCCGACGGAGGTGGCGAGCGCTGGCGTGGCGGAGGCCGCGTTCGAAGAGGGACTGCGGCAGAAGGAGCTGCGGAAGCGGGCGAAACGGCCGGAAAAGCCACGCTCACTGGCACGTTCGCTGCTACAGACGACTGCGAGGCCGGTGCTTGAAGCGTGTCGAATGGCTCGGTAGTGCGAGCTAATGTGTCCTCCGGTCAGTGGTCCGCAGCCGCTGCCGCTGCCGGTACCGGTGCCGAGGCCGGTGCCGATGCCGGTGCCGGTGTTGGTGCCGGTGCCGGTGCCGGTGCCGCCGCCAGAGCTGCCGACTCCGTAGGCGGACAGTGAGTCAAGCGCAGCGCTGAGCAGACCTTGATTGCACAGCTCGTCCTGAAGTCGTCGAGACTGTCCGAGCCGGAGAAAGAGACAGACAGAAGGGGAGAGAGAGAGAGAGAAAGTCAGACAGCGCGACGGATACAGCGGGATATAGAAAGCGACAGATAGAGTGGCAGACAGAGATGCAGGTAGACAGACGGAGAGAGACAGAGGCAGAGAGAGGAGGGAGAAGCAGTGACAAGCAGACAGAGAAGAACAGATAGCTAG